GGTGTGGACAGGAGGGTGTGGGGGTGAAGGAGGGCGGGATGGGGGGGAGCGGAGGGGCTGCGTGGAAGGGGGTTGAGCGGCAGGGGCAATGACGGCCGGGTTTGGCAGATGGCGATGGACGGACGAAGGGCAGGGAGAGGGTGGGGGCACGAGGCATGCGTTGGCGGTTGTTGTCGGGGGTGGCGCCTTTGGAGCGCGCCCGCGGTCCCTGGTGCGAATGCTACTACAGGCCAGGCATGTCCACCCAGGAGGGGGCGTCATGTGAGTGCCGTGCATTGCAGCCAGCAAGGTTGCCCGCGCGGCGCCCCCCCGCGCCCCGCCCCCAGCCGCCGCGCGCCACGCACCACGCCCAGCATCTGCCCCGGCTCCACCCTGAAGTCGACCCCCGCCAGCACCGGCCGCAGGTCTGGCCTGTACCGAGCCCACACGCCCTGAAACTCCACGCCGCCGCCGCGCGGCCACCCCGGCGGCGGCGGCGATGGGGCCCCGGCCGCCGCCGCCCCCGCGTCCCCGCCCTCCTCTCCGCCGCCGCCGCTCCCGCAGCATGCAAGCCAGCGGCCGCGCGGGCCCCGTGCCGCGCCGCCCTTGCTGCTGCCGCCCTTGCCGCCGCCGCCCTTCAGCTCCTGCTCCTCTGAGATCGTCTCTGCGTACTGCAGCATGCGCTCCACGCTGGTCATGGAGTTCTCCAGCTCGGCGCTCTGGCGCACCACCCAGCTCAGCGCACCCATAGTGCTGCTCAGCTTGGTCAGCTGCGGGGGGAAGCGGGGAGGAGGGACCCGGTGGGTGGGGTGGAGAGGGTGGCGCAGAGGCGAGCGGGCGCTGTCGGGGCCCAGGGCTCATGGGTGGGTGAGCAGGGCCGTTTTGGGGGGGGGGGAGTCCCGTAAGCCGACGGGGAGGAGGGCCGCCGTCGGTCACAAGAAGGTGGGCGGGCTTGAGCTGCAACCAACAGCAGCATCAACTTCTGCTGCTGCAGCGGCAGGGATCTTGGGTTCCAGCCAGCACGCAGCTCACCGCCAAGCCCAGTACGGTGGGAGCGACCTGTGACGTAGGGCAGCGGGAGGGGCAGGGACAATGGCAGGACGAGGGCATCATGTTAGGGCGAGGGCGGCCAGGGGCGCCGTCGGAGCACACAAGCGGGCCCTTGCAGGCTCAAAAACGCACGCGCCTCGCCGGGACGAGGTTGTGTGCATCTGTGCCATTGACGCGAGGGGCGCCCTTGACAATCGTCACAAGTGTGACTTTTCCTGCCAACAGCCTATGCAACCCGCCTGTTCTGCCTCAAGCGTGCACCACATGCCCCATTCCCTCACGCGCCAAGCACGGCAAAATTAGAGCCTGTTGACCCCTTTTCCCGTGTCTGGCCCCGCCCCAGCCCAGCCGCATGATGGGCCTCATTGCTGCGGATGACATCACCCCCCCAGCAATTAACATCCTCCCACGGCGCCTGCCGTTTCCCCACCGCGAACGTCAGCACCCCACCCCGACCCACCCGCGTGATGAGCCCCATCGCCGCGAATGACATCACCGCCGTCACCATCAGCACCAGGCTCTCCAGCCGCACTCCCAGCCACCGCTGCAGGCCGCGCGTCGCCAGTGACCACTCGAGGGCGTGGCAGAAGGCGTCCAGGATCCCGTCCTGGATGCGGGCGCGCATGGGGGCGCCGAACGCGCGGATAGTCACCAGGCCCTGCGGTGGCCACGGTGGGAGGATGGGGGGGTGCTGTTTGGAGGGGAGGAGCGCCTTTGTGCTGGGAGGGGGTGCCACCCGGCTGGCAGCAGCTGCTGTTGCGATTGCTACTGCTGCTGCTACTGCTGCTGTTGCTGCTGCTATTGGGGGTGATTATGATCATGCCCAAGGTCGGCGCCCCAACTTGGTGTGACGTTTGAGCAGGGCAGCCCCCCGCACATACAAGCACTGCTGGCTGAAGCTCCGCCAAGGCATCAAAAACGGCGTGCAAGGAGGTTCAAATACGCAACCTCTGCGCCACTGGTTGTGCCGCGGCCCTGGCCACACGCTGGCCGCCTCTGCCGTGCACTGCCTGTCATGCGGGCGCCCTCCCTCACCTCGACCATCGCACGCATGCGCGCCAGCACCGGCGACCGCGCCGCCGCCTCCAGCCGCTGCGCCTGCGCGCTCGCGTTGACGTACAGCGTCCGCAGCCACCACAGCGCCGCGAGGGCCGGCAGGATCGCCGCGGCGATGGGCGGGAACGCCACCATCGCGAGCACAAAGTTTGACAGCTGGGTCATGAGGCCGGCCCACAGATCGACTAGGGTCTCTGGCAGGTCATCGTCAACCGCCCGCTGGTCCCCCGAAAAGCGGTTGAGGATGGATCCCGGTGCGTTGCTCGCGAAGAACGACAGGGGCGCGTGCAGCACGCCGCGCAGCGCCGCGCCGTGCGTGCGGCCCGCGCCGCGGGTGAGGGCGGCGAAGGCGAGCAGGAAGCCGAGGAGGCAGGTCGCGACGGTGGCGACGACGAGGCCGGCGTAGCGGACGACCCAGTGGTACTGCCACGTGACAGGGATGGCCAGGCCGAAGGCCAGGTCAATCACCGGGCGCGCAGGCGCGTTGGCCACCCTGCGGGGTCGGCGGAGGGGTTTGGCGGTGAGGACGCGGCTCGGCGGTCGGAGGGGTGGGGGCGTGGCATGTGCGGCGCTCGACTTCGTCGGCAGACGGTCCGACCAGAGCTGGCCAACTGGTTCGAAACATGCTGCATCAGCATCAAAAACGGAAGCGTGGAACGACGGCATCCGGGGCAATAGGGGGGGTCCTGTCGGCGGCCACACAAAGAGCGGAAGCTTCACGTGCCCGTGGGAGCCGGCGCCCGCCACTATTTCAGCATCATAGCGTGTCGTGTAGTGGCGCCCAGGCCAGGGCAGCTTCGGGGCGCGACTGGATATGCTCACCACTGGGCCAGCAGCAGGTTTGAGGTCAGCGCCACCAGAGGGCTGATGACGAGCGAAAACAGCGCCACCCCCAGCATGATGGGCTGCGAGTGGCGTGCGAGCGCGCCGTAGACGCGCCAAGCCACGCCGCCGCTGGCGGCGTCCTCCTCCTGGCGCACGTTGGCAAGGGCCAGCTGCGGTTTGGCAATCCTGCGGGGCGGTGGGCGCGCGCGCGCGAGCACAAATGTGTGTGTGTGTGTGTTTTTGTGTGTGTGTGTGTGTGTGTGTGCAGTGTGTAGTAATGTATTGCGATGTGTGTGTATGTGTGTGTGTGGTGGGGGGGGGGGCGGGTGC